TCCTTTATTAAGAGAAAATGGTTGCAGGCGTTCTAGACAGGACTTGGGGTCCAAGCTCTCCCATTCAAGGTTTTAAGGGGTTCCCCAGTAGCCCCTCCCAATCACCTTCCTCTTTCAGCGAGTCTCAGGTATTGCATTCCTAACCCCTTTTCTTTACTGCCAGCTGGATGGAGACTTCAAAGAAAACTACATGAAAGGCAATAGCCCCATTCTTATGCTCTTTTGGCAATACACACATTCAGTTCCTTTGAAGTATACCGAAGGAAGTGAGGGCCATAAAGCCCCTTTGTTCACCCCCTTCCCTTCCTCGTATGGCAGAATCCATAGAAGGCGGAAATGGGGTTTTTATAATTGATAACTAGAGATGAAATATAATTGGATTCTGACATATATATATATATATATATATATATATATATATATATATACACACATATACTTAAGTGTGAGCAACTATGTAACAAATAGGAATGAGCAGTGCTCCCAAAATGGCATCTGACACAGTGAGACAAAACCGGGCGTTTCCAACTGCCTCACAAAATGGCGGATGCTATGAAACCAGGGTGGAGGTAGGAGAGATGAGATCCTATAATAGAACTTAGATTGATCTAAGGCAGGGAACTACTACAATTCTTCACCCTTCCAGGCTTTGAAATCGATGTAAACGAGTCACGCCTATCAGCTGTTATCCGTGACTGAGCTCACTGACCTTAAATGAAGCTTCATTCTCTCTGAACGGCAGCCAGAGGAAACAATGGGAAAATAATAAAGTACTTGTCCCCTGCAGCGCTCTCCGAGCATCCTAAGCCATCCGTCTGCTGGCCGAAAGGTCTTCGGCGATGATTTGAAGGCCAATGGACTCAAAATGGCGGCCGTTAGAATGGACCTCCAACCGGGCCCCCGTCAGAAAGGAAGGCCATGTGGCCTCAAAATGGCAGCCGCAAGAAAGACTGTTGTCCTCCACAATGGGAGTAGAAAGACTCAACCTCTGCTTAATTTAAAGAAAAAAAACACCCCCCTCACCTATCTAGAAGGGGTATTGGGAACAAAACTCAGTAGACTGCTGAGTTTGGTGAAAGAAAGCCGCCCTCCCTCCTTTTCTGGAGAGGAATACTACTTCCTCCCCTGATAGAAAGGGAATAAGGGCCAGAAACCCCAGTAATCAGAGTTGTAATTCTCTAATCAACAAGAATCCACCAATGGTTTACAAAATCTAGTCTAACCTGCCATCCAAAAGACCTGAGAGTCAAGCTATCACGTCCTCATGGGCAAAAGACTACGATGAAACTGGGAGGTTCCAGTCAAGGAAGGGCGTGACAACTTGACAACTTAGTCTGATTGGGCAGGAGGACTGAAATAACCCATTGGTGGATTCTTCAGTCATCGTGCTGGAGAAACTACAATATACATTCTATTCAAATAGACATAAGTCTTGGTCTAGAATTGATATGATATGGACATCCCTTGACTTGAAAATGATGATACAAGAGATGGCGATAGAAACTAATGTTTGGGCAGAACACAACCCAATAAAAATGACCTGGAAAGGAACCAAGAAAAAACTAAAATGGTCTTTGAATAAATCCATATTGAAAGAAAAAGAATTTGTACAACTAGCAACAAAGGAAATGGATTTTTTTAAAATAAACAAGAAAGAAGAAACATCCCTTCAAAATGTATGGGACATGGCCAAAGCATATTTTAGAGGCTATAACTTATACCTCTAAAAATAATAAAGAAAAGTAACGATTACAGTTAAATCTGAGAGAAGAACTTAAAAAATTGGAATTAGAGTTACAAATAGACCCACAAAAGAAAATCCTTAAGAAACAAATGGAGATAATAAAACATACATTAAACCTGGCAGAAATGGATATAATCGCACAACAGATTAAACGGACTAAACAGATTTTTTTTGAAAATGCCAATAAGCCAGAGAGATGGTTAGCATATAGATTGAAAAAAGAAAAAAAAAAGAACGATAAATAAGCTACAAGATTCAAAAGGAAAATTACAGTTCCATAATGATGCAATGAAAAAAAATATTAAAGACTACTATGAGATACTTTATAAGGCAGAGGAAGCTCCTTAAGAAAAAAATACAGACATACTTAAAAAAAAAACAGACTTGCCAAAAATCCCAGAGAATATTTGAAATATACTAAATGGGAAAATATCAATGATGGAGATTACAGAAGCTATAAAAAGACAAAAGAAAGATAAGACTCTGGGTCCAGATGGGCCACAGAATTTTATGTAGCATTACAAGATGTATTAAGTCTGACACTGAAAGAATGTGTAACAAAATCTTTTTGGAGACTAAAATACCAAAGTTGTGGACTGAAGCTAATATTACTTTGATAGCCAAAGAAGATACCGACCTTACACACAAAAAAACCTACATACCAATATCGTTATTAAATGTGGATTATAAATTTTTTGCTTCAATCATGGCAAAAAGAATTAAGAATTTTTTGACTGAATTCATACATACAGATCAAAATGGCTTTTTACCTAAGAGACAGATAAAAAATAAGAATGATTTTGGATGTTTTAGAATACTATGAAAACCACCCAGGGAAACAGATGACATTAATATTTCTTGATGCGCAAAAAGCTTTTGACAATTTAAATTGGCAATTTATGTTTCAGCAGCTGATAGAAATGGACTTTGGGAAAAATTATATAAATGCAATTCAAACAATTTACCACAAACAAATGGCTAGAATAATTTTAAATGGAGATTATACATAAACCTTTGATATTAAAAAAGGTACAAGACAGGGATGTCCACTATCCCCACTGTTAATTATACTAATATTGGAGGTACTGACTAGAAATATTAGACAAGACACCGAAATTAAAGGATTGGAGATAAAAGAACAAAAATATAAATTACAAGCCTTTGCGGATGACCTGGATTTTATCTTGGAGGAGCCACTTGAAACAGCTACCAAACTGTTGGAGAAAATAGAAAAGTTTGGAGAAGTGGCAGGTTTGAAAATAAATAGAGAAAAGACTAAAGTATTAACAAAGAACTTAACAGACAAACAGAAAACTCAACTCACAAAAAATACAAACTTACAAATAGTTAAAAAAGTTAAGTATTTAGGAATCTACTTAACAGCAAGATGTATAACATCAGGGCTTTTTTTTTTGTCATAGAATCCCCAGAACGGAGTTCCGGCACCTTTTTTGGATGGAACCTTGTAGGGTAGGCAGGGCGGGTTGTATGACATGTGTGAGTTTCGGCACCTTTTTTTTTTTTTTTACAAAAAAAGCACTGTATAACATTAAAAGAAGACAACTATGAAAGATTGTTGAAACAAATAAAATTGGACTTGGAAAAGTGGAAAAATCTTCAATTGTCACTGTTGGAAAGAACAGCCACAGTGAAAATGAATACTTTACCGAAAATACTCTTCTTATTCCAAATGATTCCTGTAAAATTGGGAAAGTTCTTTTTTGATGACCTAAATGCAACAATATTGAAATTTATTTGGCAAGGAAAGAAAGCATGAATTAAAGTGAAAATGTTACAAGAAGCTAAAGATAGTGGAGGATTTGGACTCCCAGACTGGAGACTATACTATCAAGCACCCATCTTACTATGGCTTAAAGAATGGATAACACTGAGAAATAAAAGACTATTGTACCTAGAGGGGCATGACCTACAAATTGGTTGGCATGTCTTCCTATGGTATGGGAAAAATAAAACACATACTTTCAAAACCACTTTATAAGGAATGTACTTCTTTTAAAATGGGAAAGAATAAAGCAGAAGATTTATATTAAACTACCTGAATGGCTTTCAACAATGGAAGCTTTTGCTTACCCAAATTTAATTAACTATGACAAAGTCGTCACTTATAAAGATAACTTGGACAATGAAGGAAAATTGAAAGATAGACAAGATCTACAACGACAAGGTATTGACTTAGCATGGTGGCCATATTTGCAAATTCAAACGAGACATGGAAAAGATGCAAAGACAATGGGATTTTATAAAGACAGAATTTGACCAAATATTGTTAAAAACAGATGAAAACCTGACTATGGAATAGAAATATTAAACTGACTAAAGCAGTCTCATATAAAGAAAATTTGTATAAAATGTTTTATAGATGGCATATGACACCAGTAAGACTAGCAAATTTTTTTAAAAATACTTTGAATAATTGTTGGAAATGTAAACAAAGGCCAGGCACTTACTACCATATCTGGTGGATATGTCCTAAAGCGAAAAAGTTCTGGCTTAAGATATATACATACATGGCTGGAAAAGATGACTAAAAGACAGATAGAATTCAAACCAGAACTGTTTATGTTAGGAATATTAAGAACTAAATATGAGAAGGAGAATTTTAATATTGCATGTACTGACAGCAGCGAGAATAGTATTTGCCCAGTACTGGAAAAATGAAAATTTACCAACTGAAGAGATTTTAATTAAGAAAATTTTAGAATGTGCAGAAATGGATAGCTTAACCTTAGAGATCAAAGTGAAAGAAGATTCAGTTTATTTTAGAACATGGGAAATTTTTTACCAAACGAACTAGTGAGAAATGAATGTGATATGTTATTTTGAATATATATTAGTAAGAAGAATGATGTGTATTGACCAACCAATACTGTTCATGATTATCATTTATCATATTTACTACAGCTATTTACCATTATATTAATCAGTGTTAATTGAACATATGTACCCGAACAATAATCTGCTTGCTAAAGCTTGAAAATGTTATTCAGGGGTAACCCAATGTTGTTTCCAATCCCGTCCTAACCCCAATCCCGATTCTAACCCTACGCCAAACCTTAATCCCTATCCTGGTCCTAGCCCTTCCCTAACCCTATAAAACTAAATAAAAACTTTTATTTTTTAAAAATGACAGATTTTTATGGAGTTGACTGAAAGGCTTGAAGCTTATATTGATCCTTATATATAAGATAAAACATTGTCTTGAATATTTAACTTCTCAATTTTTACCCATTTCTAGGTATGAATGGAACATCTGTTGAAAACTTTTCCTGTATTGTTCGCTCATATATATTTAAGAATCCTACTATGAATTGTACTTGGAATGCTGGCACAAATGCTCCTTCAGACACCCAGTATTTTATGTACTTAGCTTACCACAAGTAATGCATTTTCATTTAATAAACTAAAAAAATATTCTTGAAAGTATATTGTGTTTGATTGGTTCTTAAATAAAATTTGTTTGGTATAAACAGGGCTACAGATAACGAGTGTCCACATTACATAAGTAATATGCATAGAAGACACATTGGTTGCTACTTCCCTGATGTGATAGTAAATAAATATCGTGTGAATATTACAGTAAACGGATCAAGCACAAAATCTCCAATTCAATCGTATGTTGATGATTTCCGACTTTATAAAAAAGGTGAGAAAAAAAGGGAGAATGTTTATAACTAATAATAATAGAAGCATTTATACTAGATATATTGAAATATGAAGATGGCCAGATATGATATGCCCAGAATTATTCCTTCTGTAAGGGTCCAACATTTCATTTTAAAAAATAGTCTTGCATTCTTTTATGAAGAAAACATACATGGTAATTCATCTTCTGACTTGCAATAAGTAAGAAGTAACAAGGCTTTCATTTTTAAATATTAATTTTCATTGATCTAGAGACTGAAAGAACTAAAAAAAGAAAACCAAATATACCTATCAAATTTGGGCTAAAGAGACTGTGCTCATTTTGTTTATCTCTTCTCTTCTTAAAGTATTTCATTGCTTATACAGTATCTGTGCATATAGACATGATTTCCTAAGTCTTCAACTACTTATAATGCTGGTTATTTCATTCCAGAACAGCTTCAACCTCCCCAAAATATTACTGTGGATTATAAATCACCATTATATTATAGAATCCAATGGGAACCTCCTCCAAGCTCTCGTAAAGTTGGAAGGGAATGCTTTGAGTTCCAAATAAAGGTAAGAGCCAACAAATTGAAAATTCCCTTGCCACACTAATGTCAATTTTTGAGCTAGAAAATGACATCTATTGGAAAACAAATATTTCAAATTTTGAAAAGATTGCCAGATTGTTATTGATTTAAAGAATATAGGAGTGTTATTTCATGGTTTCATACATACCCATACAGACAGGGTAAAAATCCCAGAAATAATTGGATGAAGGGACTCTTATTGTCTCTTCAGTGGTTCTCAACCTATGGTCCGCAGTTACCTGGGGGGCCGCAATGTCATCAGACGGGGTCTGTGAAGGCTTGAAGAAATATTATGATTTAAATCTTAAGTCTTGTGGGTCACTGGCCATGGTTTGTGGCCACAAAAGATATTTAAAGGGGTCCGTGATGAAAAAAAGATTGAGAATCACTGCCCTAGACAGTAGATGGGGTTTTCTTCCCACCAGGCACTCCCAGGGATACAATAGATTAAATTTATTGCCAAGGTGTGTTGGGAAGATTAATCACTCTCTGGTACTAATCAATACAAAGAAGCTTGTATAAATCTGTAATAATTACCAACTAGGCTATGCAAAGCAACTGGAAGCAATGCTTCACAACGCTTTCCTAAGTTGTGTTTGTATGTGTACATCTGCAGACATACCTATTTGCTTTGCTGGTGATTCTGACAGAAGTAGTTTGTGTGTTGAAGGGTTTTCTATGGATTTTATATTGTATTACTTTATTTGAGTATTTGCTAAAGGAGAAAGATGGATCTATAAATCAAATATGGTTGCCTAAACTGTAGGCAAACTGGATGCAGGAGATGGTGATGCAAGAAGGCAAAAATGCTCATCAGAATAGGGTTATCATCAGGTAGCAGACTTGCTTCCATAATTTAGAAAGAGAAGTAATTAAAATAAAAGAGTAATATTTAGGGGGGAAAAGCATAAGTCTGCTCAAAAGATAATTGACCCAATAAAAAAATTAATGCTACTGGGCCTAGAACAAATCAAAGGGAGTAGATGAACAGAAATGTGCACATACACATTTTTCTTTTCAGTTGTGTAGTTAGCAAAGAATTAGATTAATAGGGGAAAGAGTATAGACTAGAGGGAGTGGCTAGTGCTTCTCTAGTACAGGTAGTCCTCGACTTATGACCACAATTGAGCTCACAACTTCTGTTGCTAAGTGAGACAGTTGTTAAGTGAATTTTGTCTCATTTTACAACCTTTCTGGCCACAAATGTTAAGTGAATCACTGCAGTTGTTTAAATTGATAACACAATTGTTAAGTGAATCTGGCTTCCCCATTGACTTTGCTTGTCAGAAAGTCACAAAAGGTGATCACATGACCCTGGTGTTCTGTTTTAGAATCAGAGACATTGAAGCAAGGCAGGAGTAACAAAACACAACTTCTTTATTGAGATCACAAACAGAACAGAATAGCAAACAAAATGGGGCTGGCCCTTTTATACTCCCTTTGCAGGGACAGCATCAGCCTATCAATACAAGGCTAGTCTCCCACCTTGCACATGCTCACAAGGCTGGAGACAGCCTATCTGGTCCCAGGCAACCACACGGTCTGCCCAGGTCTTCTGCAGCCTCCTGAGCCTGCTGAGTCATTCAGCAGGCCTAAGACATAATACCCCTCCCCCTTGGATAAAACAATAAGTGAATACTTACTGTTTTTATAGCAGCATACATACACATGTGTTCAATTAAGCATGTTGTTATTTCTAACACAGTGATGCCTGCATGCAGGCATACCCAGTCATGACATTTCTCATATTTACAAGAATACCACACATTGTTTAATACTATCAAACAAAACACCCCAACTCTTAGTGTGCCTAACTTAGTTCAAGAGAACTATTAAGCCACCCTTACATGCATTCTATATTTTCACAAGACTATTAGGCCTGTCCTGGAATTGACAAGAACCTTACATAGTTTTGTAAATGCTTGGGGGGACCCCTTGCTTGCTCTGATCTTCTTAGAGCTGTTGTGGGCACCTGGCCTGTGAGCTCGCCTGCCAGGCTTGGCAGACCAGGATGTAGATGCCCCCTTGAATCCGGTGACCCTTCATCGTACTGACTGACCAGAGCCTGTAACCCCAGACCAGAGTTCCTTGGTGGGGTGGAATTCCCCGAGTCCACAATGGACCCCTCTTGGAAGCACTGTCCCATGAACCCAAGACCAGCAGATGGAGAAGCCTGTAGTGCCGCTTGACTGGCCAAATCCATAGACCCAGTGCCCGAGTCAGGAGCCGCCTCATAAGCAGAACCCCCTTCTGGAGCCAGTGTATCCCCACTTTCACGGAGAGACTGTGGTCCACAATTGTAATCGTGGTCTTCCTCCCCCCCAGAGCAGAGCCAGGAGCGGAAGTGTTGCAGGGAAGCCTCCAGCGTAGTTGATTGATGTGCCACCTTAACATATGACCATCGTCCAAGGCCACTTTGTATGACAGTGGCCCAGAAAACTTGCGGTCACCCAGAGATGTCCAGGTCCATAGTTTCTTGCCCAGACCAGAACGCCCACCTGTAGTCTCCTAGGTGCCCGTGGCTGTGACACCTGTGAAGCCACCCGGTCTAGGTGCGACCTGTCCAGTTTGGTAATAAGTCTGCGACCCCAGCAGAGTTCAGCTGGGCTCTTCCCAGTGGCAGTACAAGGTATGATGCGGTGGCAAAGAAGAAAGTCACCTAACCTGTGATGCCAGTTGCCGTGAGTGATTCTCTTTAAAACATCTTTAGTAGTATGCACAATAGTATGCACCATACGCTCAGCCTGGCCATTGGAAGCTGGGTGGAACGGTGCAGATGTGGCATGCCAGATCATGTTGGCTTGAAGAAAAGCCTGAAACTCAGAAGACATGAATTGGGGTCCATTGTCGGAGACAAGGACGTCTGGAAGACCATGTGACGTGAAGATTCCTCTCAGCACCTGGATGGTTCTAGCAGTAGTAGTGGAGGAGACAGGAACAACCTCTAGCCACTTGGAATGGCTGTCCACAAGGAGAAGGAAGAATTGCCCCTGAAAGGACCCAGGGTAGTCGATATTTACCCTCAACCATGGAGTATGTGTCTCCTCCCACCTATGTACAGAGGCCTGAGGCATTTCAGGCCTTGACTGTTGGCACACTTGGCACCCATGAACCTGGGTCTCGATCTCTTTATCGAGCCCAGGCTACTATAGATGGCTATGCACAAGCGCCTTCATCCGGACAATTCCGGGATGACCTTCATGTAAAGATTGCAAGACTCTAGTCCTCAATGAGGCTGGGATGACTACCCTGCTTTCCCACAGGACACACCCCTTGAAGGTGGAAAGCTCGTGTTTCCTCTGCCAGAAACTCTGGAATTCTGAGCTTGGACACATGTCGGGCCATCCGACAACACCCATGTCAGCACGCGTGTAAGTGTGTGATGAGTGGCAGTTTCTGCAGCCAAGTCCCTAGCATTGAGGGAAGATTCAGGCAATTCCTGAATTGAGAGAATGAGAAGAGCAGGAGCAGGATCTGCCTCTAGAGGTAATCTGCTGAGGCCATCTGCATGGCCCATTTCTTTACCTGGTTTGTAGACCAGAGTATAATCATATGCTGACAGGAAAATTGACCATCTCAGCATTCTAGGGATATTATATGAGGGGTTTGTTTGTTGTTGTAAACAATCCCAGCAGAGGCTTATGGTCTGTGTAGACTGTGAAATGTCAGCCATATAAGAAATCATGGAATTTCTTTATGCCAACCACTATTGCCAAGGCTTCTCTGTCAATCTGCACGTAATTACGCTCTGCAGATGAGAGAGTTCTGGAGTAGTAGGCCACAGGGACTTGTGTCCCATCAGCCTTGAGGTGGCTCAGGCAAGCCCCAATCCCATAAGGGAATGCATCACAGGCTATGCATACAGGAATTGCTCACTGAAATGAGCTAATACAGCATTTGAGGAAAGCAAGGCCTTGACCTCTGAAAAGCTCTTTTCATGGACTTGTGTCCACTCCCAAGGAGCCTGTTTATCCAAGAACTGGTGAAATGGGTCAGCCACTGCGGCCTTGTGAGGTAGAAATGCATAGTAAAAGTTTAAGAGTCCCAGAAAAGCCTGAAGTTCGCTTTTGGACTTGGGACTTGGGCCTACTGAATTGCTTTGAGCTTGGATCCGGCAGGATGGATGCCTTCAGCATCAATACGGAACCCCAGAAATTCAGTGGAGGTAACTCCAATCTCACATTCAGCTTCAGCCCTGCTTGGCAGAAACGCAGCAAGACAGCCCTCAGCCTTTCAGCTAAGTTCCCAGATGACTCCCCAGCAATGAGGACGTCATCAAAGTAGGGACAGACCCCAGGAATACCACAGAGTGTTTGCTCCATCACACTCTGGAATATTCCAGGGGCCACATTAACCCCAAACTGCAGTTACTTTTTACCTTAAAGGCTCCCCGGTGCGTCACAATTGTTTCGGCCTCAGCCATTGCCTCATCAACAGGTAGCTGTTGATAGGCCTGAGCCAAATCAAGCTTTGCAAAGATTTGCCCCCCCTTGAGTGAGGCCAGAATGTGGCTCACCACAGGCACTGGGTAGGCATGCTGCTGCAATGCCTTATTTAGTGTACATTTATAGTCTGCACAAATTTGGACTTCTCCATTGGCCTTCAGTGGCGTGACTATAGGGGTTTCCCATGGACTAGAGTCCACAGGTTCTAAGATGCCCTGCTGGAGCAGCTTGTCCAGCTCTGCATCTATTTTGTTCTTTAGGGCAAAAGGCACCCTTCGGGGCTTGATCCTGATGGGTGTGATGGCTGGGTCTAAATGTAAAGCAATAGGAGGCCACTTGTATGAGCCAAGCTCTGAACTGAACATATGAGTAAACTCCTTGCAAACTTCTGCAAGGCCTGATGTTTGCAAATTGTGAAGTCCAGTCACTTGAATCCCAAGGGCCTCGAACCAATCGAGTCCAATAAGATTTGTATGATCACCCCCAACTACCACCACATCTAGCAGCCCTTCAAAACTCCTACGCTGCACCTTGAGCATGG